GACAAGTGGATGTAAAATTATGTAGCCTTAATCGGTAGGTCGTAAAAAAAGCGTAATAAAATGAAAATGCAGTTTAGTAACTAACGATAATAATAAAGCAAAAGATTATAATAAAAACATGAAAGAAACATTAAACATAATAATAATGAATAATATTTCCTTATTTAATAAAAAGTGAATAATTTTTGCCCTTTAAAAAAAAATTTTAAATTTTTTTCAGGACTCATATCGAAGGAATGATAAGTGTAATTACTGAGTATTGCAGTAATTATTTAATTATACGCAGCTGTAATAGCTATAATCTATAATTAATCCCATTTATGATAACAAATGGCAAATCCGATTAGCATAAATCCGCAGATATTAGTATCTGCTTACAAGTCTCGAAAGCGAGTTTCGCTCGCACCACGCGACATTAGAAAAACGAATTAAATCATGGTCGTACTTCCGTAGGTCAATAAACTTGTTCTTTTTAACTAAATTTATTATATCATTTATCTTTTTTATTTTTTTCTTCAATGAAGAGAAAAATAAAAAGGATGAATCATCGTTACAAAAAATTCGAGAACTCATGGTAGCATCATTTTATCTTCGTTATTCACTGAATGTTAAATAAGATAATGCATTCTGGATGTTTTTAAATGCAGCCTAAACTGAAAATAGACCTATTTTTTGTCTGTGTATTGGATTGAGCTTTTTATTTCACTTTCGCCAAATTTCAAATATATTTTCATTTTAAGTAAAGTGTATTTCATTTCAATTAAAGTGTAGTTTACTAGAAAGAATTTTTCCTCTTTTTCTCTTCACGTTGGAGAAAAAAAAAGAAAAGAGAAATAAATGGTTCACACTCACAACTTCAGCTAAAAAGAAAACAAATAAACATTTTGCGATTACACAAGTTTATATATTCAATTTAAAATGATCACCGATTTGCATCAAGATTAATTATTTAACATACAGAAAGATATCAATTCCAATTAAAATTCATTCTTTAATCAACAATTTTATACAAGAATTTTTGTTTTATAAATCGAATTAATTTTCAGATTTCACTTAGAAACGTTTATAGCTTGGATAGTGATTAAAGTTCCTGCATACTAATTCTCCGTTACAAAGTCGTTACTAATCATCACGTAATTACACAGGACAAGTATAATTACGTAGGTATGTGCCGATGATATCCAGTTAACATACAGCGAGATAATGGCTGGAGAGAAAAGAAACACGTGGAAGAAAAGCGTATGCTATATCTTCAGATTTTATGAAACAAATTTTATTCTTTGCAGAAAGAACAACTCCAAATTTCGATTTTAAAAAAGCATTATTCGCTTGTTAGAGAAATTATCTTGAAACTTATCATTATAAACTGATATACATTTCATTAATATTATAAAAATATAATAATTCCGAGATTATATTTTTAATTAGTCTGTGTTATCATAGCCAATTTTATCAAGTAAAATATCCGATGACACAATGATAATGAAAACGAGAATCTTCTCAAAAATTTTAGAAGACATCACATTCCACAATAGGAAAAATATATTATCAACATAAACATTGCATTCCTTAGAAAGTATAAGTAGAATGCGATAGTATTAAATAAGTATTGAATCATAAGTGTAAAAAAAATATACCAAGTTCGAACGATACATTTCTCATCGAAATTGGATGATAACTAATCGATATAGCAAGTGAGATCCGATAAACAGGAGCATACAAAAATAACTTGTGATGATAACGAGATTTACACAGATATCGAGATAATATAATATATACGTAATAAAATATAAAAAATATAATTTTTTTTTATAATGTAATTATTCATTAATGAGAGAGACATATTATACGGCGAAATGGACCCGCCATCCGTTGATCATCGCGCACGATTTGTACTTTTGGATCATCGATCTCAAGTTATAGACGACAGTTCACTCTAAATGTCGATAACGCGATGACGCTTTTTATTGCAGTCGAAACGAAGCGAACTTACAACTTGCACGCCCGATAATCCCAGATAAAATAACCAAACGATAAACAAGAGAATTATCGAATACGCGCTAGAAAAACACTTTCAACATCTTTTGTCGATAATTACAAAATGAAGACTCAAATGGTAGCATAACTCAATTAGAAGATTTGAAATATCGTATTTTCAAGAATTTTACACAACTGCCTTTATTAAATATTCCTCATTAATTTTTAAATAGCATTGTTATTAGTGACGTTCCTGACTTCTTTTAATCATTATTATATTGTGTGTGTTTGTATTTATTATTATTATTTTTATATTTTTATTACTTTACTATTTCGATTTTTCTATATTTATTATATTTGTCTTTAGTAATATAATAGATAATTTATGGAAGATACACTGTATCACAAGTGCAATTTCAAAAACTACTTTTCCTTTGCGACTTTTCTTACCGCTCAAAAGATACCTTTATGCACATATTTTTCTAAACTGTTTATTTTTAAATAGTATCTTTTTTAACTTAAAAGATCGAGTATGTTTCGTTACGCTTTATCTTCAAGGTGATCTTGTGAAGTTTAACAACGCAATTATATACTGTATTGTATACGAACAAAATGTGTGCGAGCTTTGTTGCAATATGTGTATTCTAGACAAAATTATACAATTGCGACAAAAAAGGATGAATTCATGATATTATTCAACCGATCCGTATCGAAAGGTCATTTTGCATATTAATGCAAACTCTACATACATATCATGAATGGTTCTACATTAGTTATGTCATAAATAACTTGCGATAATCCATTATTACTTCACTTTCACTGCTCCTTAATGCACTGTTGTAAATGATTTTTATTGAAAAAAATATAAAGGTAATTTCACGCGTGTTTTTTTATTTCAGTGTTTCTTCACGATTACTAATCCGATATCAATTATGATAGCCTAAAGATCATGCTTACGACAGGATTAATTTAACGATTCCACACAACTACTACATTAGGATACACTAGATCTTTGCGTTAAGTCCTATTTGCAAACTTGTCTCATTACAACGTAAAAAAAGCAAACATATAAATCAATTAAGTTTAATGGCTTCAATTTGATGAAACTACAAATGTTCTCCTACGCAACACGTGACATTTCGCAAGATTTTAAATAAAATTTTCAACGAAAATCATATCTCTATTTGAGTAAACAATCAACCGTTCCTGAGATATTTCAATATTCAATTTAATAACGCAATTCATTAAAGTTTATACTCAAGTTTAGTTGGTATTTTAAAAATTTATGTTTTATATTTATTTTTTCGTCATGTTTTATCGTATTAAAATTTATAAAAATATGTAATCTGTAACAAAAATAATTATTTCTTTTTTCTTACATATAACAATTATTCCTATCATAAAACATTATTACATAATAGAAGAGACTTAATTGTTAGTGAGGTTTGAACTCAAGTCTATAAATTAAGAAGTTGTTATAAGCCATAACCACTACGCTACAAATACTCAAGTATAAACATTCTAATAAACTCTAATGAACTGCTGCTACTAATTTAATATTGAAATTTAATATCTCGAAAACGGTTTACGCTCAAATAGAGATATAATTATATTCAGGAGAACATATTTTATAACCCTGTCAATTTTCATTGAAATCAGTGAGGACCACTTCTGAGTCTCTCTCTTTCCTTGTAAATTCATAATTCGCTAACTAATTCTGAATTTATACTTAGAAGCTATAAATTTTCATTTGTTTCAAGCATTTCGTTTGAACAATATTTACCTGTCAATCGAACATATTTCTTTCTCACATTTTAAACACATTTATAAAAAAATAGAAGTACATGTTACAGAAATATATTTCATAGAAAAATAGATCTTTTATGATATCTGATGGCTAGACATTTTTTCAAAAATTGGTTCATTAGGTATAATTTCAGATAGTAAGTATCGTTATCGTTAAAATGTCGGCATTTAAATAATTATTTTTAGACGTTAAAATGATGACATTAGCTTACTATCTGGGATAGATCTAATAACGAAGTCGATTGGACACTTTCAATGCGCACTGATACACATTAAAACCGCCGTACATAAATTGACGTAAAGATATGTTTATAATAAACCGGTTAAATCGTGAAATACTCAATACTTTATTGTGTTATTAGGTAAAATATATATTTTATAATTTGAAATACTTGTTTTTCACTTTTATACTCAAATTAAATCATTGTATAACGGCTTTAATATGCACCAGTGCACACTAATGCTTCCAATTGAATTCGCTACAAGAAGAATCACAACAAGAAATCTGATTCTTAAATAAACTCCACAGATTACAATCCTTTCAGTCGTCTATTAAATCCTTATTCGAGTATCAAATTCAAGTATTATCCAGTCACTGACGGTTTTCTTACAGCTCTGTTGTAGGGTCGGAGACGCCGCGGTGGGCATCTTTTGCGACGTTTTCTCGACATCGGCGTCTTCATCCTTCTTGATAGCCGTCATTTCGCACGTCGCGTCTCCTCACACTCTGTTAAAATCCTTATCTCGCCCGCCGTGGCGATATTTATACGGGCATACCCCTTCCTTTTCGGTCTCGTTTCCATTCCCTCCCTCCATTATCATCGGCGCCGTCATCGTCGTTGTACAGTTAACAGGTGATTTACCTGATTTCTGCCTTTGCACGAGATCGAAATATCTAAAATCGTGGCTTAAATACTTTTCAAAAAAAATATTTCTTCAGCAAAGTACAAAACAAATCTGAAGGAATTGTTTTGCGACGAAACGAACGTCAGTCTTAAGTCATTTTTTCCAGATTTTCGAGTTCATTGCTCGTTCATCTGTAATATTAGCATAATCACAACTACTTCGAGTGAACATTCAAATGTTTGAAAAGAGAAGTTCGGCAAATAATCTTTACAATTAAAAATGAGTTCCTTAATTATGAGGAATAATTATGAGTAAATAAGGATCTATGTGCTAGGATTACCAACAGTAAAATTAAATATGAAACATTTCAATTCCTGTTTCAATAGTAATTTTAATATAGTTTCTTCATAGGCGACTTGTACAAACATATAAAAATATTGCATTTTGCACTTATTATAGATCCGCTTCTCTTAACTGAATCAAGTTGCTCGATTTATTGTATATTCGAAATACATATACGTATCTGATTCTGATTTAAGAACACAAAAAAAAGGTGAAATGTAAGAAAAAACAGATAAAAGAAGCGAATCCTGTATCTTACTCTGTTATACAAGCGTTATCCCAACATATTACACAAAAATCTTAAATCATTCGATAAAACTGAGAAAATTCGCATGTATAACACTAAATTTAAAAATAAAATTATATCGACTATTTTTTTTATTTTATCTGTTATGATAACTTTATGATAACTTTCTACACAGTAAGTTATGGTACATTACTTCACATCCTTAGCCAACGTTAAAGGGCTATGAGGATGCAAAAAAAATCGTATTCTACAATTCATTATGCAAAAATATAATAATATTTAATTTATAATATTTATACTAGGAGTTGCCGGCATCAAGCCCCAGCGCATATTTTCTGGAAGCATTACATTACTGCGACCTTTGCTTTTTCCTAGCTGGTCCCTTGTTGTCGTTCTCTTCTCTTTCCATACTTTTCTTCGCAAGCCTGGAAGAGTGTCGAGTTGGCGTTAAGCGTATCGCCAATTCCGGAATACTAAAACAATTAACGATGCAACAATGCATTTCGATGCGAAATTTACGATAGATAATAAAATCGCTTCAACTCTTTCACTACTACATAAAATTTCAATATATTTTATATTATTTTTATTGCCGGAGCAAGTGTGTTTTCAACGTCGCGTGAATTTTAGCGTGCCTAAGATATTTATTTTTTAAATTATTACGTTAAATGCAACATTGAATATAGAAGTCTTTTTTTATTCAATATCTTTGAATTTTTTAAATATTTTGCTATAACTGACAATAAATTACAATATATGTAGTTAATGGTCTGCATTAACAATAAATGTAATATACAATTAGGTAGTTTTAATTAAAGCAACGATCAAAAAGAAAATTATTTCACGTGATAAGATACTTAAGATAATTCATATCTAATCTGTTTTAATTATTAAAAAATATATTTTTCATTCGCTAACAATCAACTTATTATTAAGCAATAAAAATATGTTACTGTTTTCCAAAATGAATAGTAATCATTCATCAGTAATTTACTCAATGATTGCGTTCAGCAGAGAAAGTAACTTTGCAACTGTTGTAAAATTCTTCAATATGATTGGTTCTTGCTTTTGATTTCTTATGGATCTAAATACATAAACCAATCATAATGAAGAATTTTACAACAGTTGCAAAGCCGCTTTCTCTGTTGAACGCAGCCATTGAAAGATAACTTCCGTGTTTATCATATAACATACAAAAAAGAAATTTATTTCATATAATTAAGAAATTATATAATTCTTCACTTTCCGTAAAATAATATAATTACAATAAAAGGAGTCTCTGAAATCTTAAGAAATAATAACTTCAGTACTCACCCTAGTCGATCAACTTTCTGTCGCTTTCCATTTGGTGTCTTTGCGTTATTCTTTTTTGTGTTTATTTCCGCATCAGATGATGTTTCCTTCGCGTTATTGTGCTTTGTAGACGATGTTTCTTCCTTATTTAATGACGTTTCTTTTGTATTATTGTCCTTCGCGGACGATGTTTCTTTCCCATTCAATGACGTTTTTTTCACATTATTGTTCTTCGTGGGCAACGTCTCTTTCCCGTTCAATAATGTTTCTTTCGCATTATTATCCTTCGCAGGTAACGTCTCTTTCTCGTTCAATAATGTTTCTTTCGCATTATTATCCTTCGTGGGTGCGGTGTTCTTCTTACGTGAATTCGTCTGAGTGTGTTGCGACAAGGGCAGTCGCGATTTCTGCGAGGCCTGGGACGCGTAGGTCTTCGAAGTAAGCTGCGTGGGCGGCACGATACCATTATTTTCATAGTAACGGGACAATCGGAGAGTCACACTTTTAGAGCAGTTAAACGTCTTGTAGATGCCCACCAGAGAGTCGGCCAGTTCGAACATATTCGAACGTAACGAGATGACGATGAATTGTGCGTTTTTCGTGCGCTCTTTGATGTAGTTACCAACAATGGAGACATTCTTGAAGTCAAGCGCCGCATCGATCTCATCCATAAAGTACACAGGCGTGGGTTTGTAATGATGGAGGGCAAAAACCAGCGCCAACGAACTTAGAGTCTTCTCACCGCCACTGAGTTTATCGATGCTCTTCCATGATTTTTTGGGCGGACGCACACTAAATACAATACCCTCGCTTAACGGATCTAACGAATCCACCAGTTCTAGCTCTGCATCGCCGCCAAGCGTAATCATCTGGTACATCTCCTTCAACTTGGTAGTGATCAGGGTAAAACCGTGTAGGAATTCCTGGATCCTGCGTCGCCGAGCAGTTTCGTAGATGTCACGCATCTTGTTGCGTACCGACGTCGTCTCTTCCAGATCAGCGGCACGGCTCATATACAGCGCGTCTTTCTCCTCGTAATCCGCAATGATTTGCATGTTGGGTATCTGCTCGGGTAGCTTTTTTTTTATCCTTACCAAATTCTGCAGCAACATCTTCATGTCCAATTGATTGATCTCCTCCTCAGTCAGATCCTTAAGAGGCTCTAAAATTTCATGGGGAATCTGGCGTAATTTCAGATTCTTTATGTCCCGATTATACGCGGGGATCATTTGCTGGAGCTCCTTTAACGATTTCTTATTCTCTTGTAATTTCTGCTCCACATCGATCTTCACCGCCTTCATTTTGTCCTCACGCGCCTGCAGTTTGTTCAACTCGTCCTTCAAAGACAATGTGGCGTCGTCCCACTCTACCAATACCTCATTGAGTCCCTTCAATTCATCCAGAATGACTTTAGCATGTTCCTCGAGTTCGGATTTTTCCTTCTGAATGTCCCTTAACCTCTGCTCGCAGGTGTGTACATCGTTTTCCAGCGTTTCTATGTGTTTCTCAGTCTTTTTGACGTTTCTCTCGGCAGTCTTAATAGCCACCTGCAGACGATATATTTCCGCCTTGGTTTTATCTATCGATTTGGTCAGCTGCGCAATTTTCGCCTGCTGATCCCGCACCCGACTGCCGGAGATATCATCTATCTTCTTGTTGATACGTTCCACCTCTTGCTCTACCGAAGCGGAATTCTCTTCGACTTCGTTCAGATGCAATTTCGTCGCGTCCACCACTTTCTGCAGTTCCGTAACTTTCTTTGGGTCTGCTACAGCGTTCGCGGCAGTTTTTTCCTGTGCCTTCAGCTGCGCTCGCAACGATGGCTCCTGCTCGCTCAGTGTCTGTACCTCGATATTGAATCTCTGCTTATCAACTTTCATATCTTTCAAACCAGATGTCAACACATGGACCTGTTCTTCCAGAGGTTTCTGTTTCGCTCTCAGCTTATTGCACTCTTCAAATATAGTATCCAACTGTGATTGTAATTTTTCGATATCAGCGTTCGACGGCTCATTCCTCACCACTTTCTGACCCATCCGACCTCGGAATACTGTGCGACCACCACCACTCATCGTACCCGACAGCTCGATCAGTTCGCCTTTCAATGTTACTACGCGATATCGTATGCTACCATAAGCGATGCGTGTTGCCTGATCCAAATCCTGCGCTACTAAAGTGTCTTGTAGACCATAATAAAACGCTGGCAGCACTCGCTTATCTTCTACTTTAATCAGATCAAATAGTCGATGTACGTTCTCTGGTGTTTGGATACTCTGATTGATCTTACTTTGGAATCGTTGCTGTTTTTCTAAAGCTATAAATGTAGCGCGTCCTATGTTATGTTGTCGCAGATAGGTGATACATGCCTGCGCAGTGGTTACCGTGTCCACAACAATGTCATCCAGTGGACCGCATGCCGTCGATACAGCGACATCGTATTTGGCATCAATGGCGCCCAAATCACCCTATACAGAAACAAATTCTTACAAAATACTATTTCAAGCAAAAGAAAATCTTAATATTCACAGATCCAGCGTACTTCAAATTAATGTATCTTTGTTTAAAATTAATGTAATTGAATAATTTTTTTTCATTTTGTTGAAGATTAAAATCTGAAGAATAAAATTATGTAACTTAAAAATACATAAAGTTATGAAAAACATTAGTTAAAAGAATCTTTCACAACGTAATTGAAGAAAATGTCCGACTGGATCAGAGTCTACTCAATCTGCGAATATTGATCAGGGTTAATCAATGCAATGCTATTTTATTTCGCGCATCTCAGAAAATTCTCACTCACCAGTCTCCCAAATATTCCAGGTAATCGTCCCTCACGTTTTTCTCTCATCAATGAGTCTAAGACGTGGTTTCGTGACCTGCTAGCCTGCATGGCAGAACGCTGTTCCTCAAAAGTAATTCGCATCTTTTGCAGCTGAGCGGTTTTCTCGCTTTCGAGAGCCTTTGCTTCATTAAGTTCGCTCTGTGCCTGCTTCAAACTGCGCTCAGTTGCCGGGATTTTCGTCTCGAATAATGCCAGCTGCTTTTGTCGCTCTTTGAGAGTACTCGCAGTTCTTTCCAAAGACTCTTGGAGATTTTCCAATTTCTCTTTCTCGATTTTCTCTACCGATGTATAAAGTTCCAACTCTGACTGCGCGATATCGTATGCCGCTTTCGCTTGATCTACGTCTTTCCTAAGAGATATCAGTTTTTTCTCCAACTTGGACCGCTCATTCAGTAACGGCTCTGTTTTTTCTCGTAGATTCGACATCAAAGTTGCTAACGTAGCCTCTTCTTTTTCTTTTTTGGCTGCCTGCGTCTCGATCAGATGCTCGCATTCATTAATATCCTTAGTGTTTTTCTCTGGTACCTTCAGTAGTTCCTCCAGCTTACTTTTCTCCTGTAATCGTTGCATAAATTACCAAATATATAATTTGAAAATACAAACAAAAAAAATATAATAAAATATAATACTTATAATTTACATGTAAATTCAATGTATTTGGTAAGATAATAAAGAGAAGAATTACTGTTTTGCTGGATGCTATATTAGCTTTCCGCCGCTTATTTGTCTCTATTAGTTCGGCATGCAGCGACTCGTCCTGCTTGTGCATTTCATCGAATCTCGCCGTGGCTTCGTCTTTTTGCCGTTGCAAAGCGTCCCACTTCTTGTTCTTTTCCTTAATAATCTTGATTTTTTCCCCTTTCTCTTTGCTAACGCTAATCATCTCGTCTGTCAATGTAGTATGTTCCTTAGTAATACTATCGTTCGTCGCTTCGCATTCAACAAGCTTCTTCATTGCCTCGGATCTGATAGAAATGTTTTGTAATTTTTAATAGTTAGCTAAGCTGATATAATGCTTCAAATATCTTTAGATTTAAATCAAATAATAAAATTTTCATGGACAATTCACCTTTTGCAATGATAAATTTGATATTGCAGACTAATTATTGAATTCTCCGTTTTTAAGTACTGTACTGCCTCTTGCATAGGCTCCTCCAAGGCCTCTTTCTCCTTTTGCACGACTCTAAGTCGATGCAGCTTCTCTATTTTACGTTCTGTTAATTCTTCGATCTTATTCAATAATTTCTCCAAGGGTTCTTTATAACGAAATGTGCCAATAATATCTTCCAAAAATTCTAACATTCCGGTATCGTTTTCATTTTGAGCTTTTGGTTTCATTAGTGCAATTTGTTCTACTTCACCCTAAAGAAAGCAATTCTCATGGAACTTTTTACCGATATAGAATTTAATGTAATTAATATATATTCTGATTTGAATGTATTTAATATATATTGTATTATAATAAATTATTTTATATATAAATTGATTTTAAATGTATAATTTAACATATATTAACTTTTGAAATAAACTAAGTTTTTGTAAATATTTTGGTTCTTTCAAAAAAAGAACATTAACACTAGAAAAATTCAAAATATTAAACGTGTTTAAGAAATAATCAACAAATGTGTATAAAAACAGTTACATTGGCTTAAAGGAAAATTAACTATATAAAGTTTGATTTTTCACAAGAATTATTTTAAAAATAATACGAAAGTAGGATTAAATAGATTACATGTGTTCACATAATTAAAAAAAAATCTTCTAAAGTTAAATCTATTCTGGATTCTATCAATAATAAAACATTACATGATTCTACCTGTAATATCAAAAAACGATTGTGATCCAAATCGACTCCATGATACCTCAAGAGTTTGGCAATCTCTTTAAATTGTACTTTCTTCTTATTAAGCTCATAATATGATGAACTATCCTTGAACGCTGTTCTAGATATAACAAACTCGCTGCCCGGAACAACATCAAAGTCTTCACCAGGCTTAAAATTAATTTAGTATTATATTACTTAATTACTATTATATTACTATTATTATATTCTTATTAATTATTATTAATTACTGATAGAAATCAAATTGTCACACTTGTACCTTAAACTCTAAATCATTAATATCATTACCTTATCGATAATTCTTTGGAAATGTATAGAAACAGTACAACTGTTCACATTCGGATGCTCACTGGAATTATGTATTAAGACAGAGATCTTCTTCGATCTAATCTTGCTAGCACGATAGCCAAACACAAATAGCATAGAGTCTATCACATTGCTTTTGCCACTGCCATTGGGACCCACTATTGCCGAGAAACTCTGAAGGAAAGAAATGATAAATCTGTTGTTTATTTTTGCATTAGACTGCACTAAAACTTCCTCACTTGTCTCAAATATCTATTTAACTTCAAGTTCCAAAAGTGTATACTAGTTTAGCTTTGGTAAACAGCTCTGATAACATTTATAACAAATTCAGTTCATTTGCATTATATTATATTAAATTAGTGGATATTAAAAGTTGCTGTACATAAAATTGAAATTAAGGCTGTTTCAAAATTCACTGCTAGCACTAAAAATCTATAGTTTATGTTACATATATTATACATTTTCAGCACTGGCAGTGAATTTTTGAACACAGCTATAAAAGCATGACGAAGTAAATTGCAATGTTTACAAAACGTTGGCATTCTAGTAATAGATCTGGCATTCTAGTAATAGATCTAGTAATAGACATGGAGATAATCCATAAGGCTTGATTATACCAATATTATTTTGACTTTAAGCAAGGCTTAAAACTTTGTTTGTTTTTCTTTTGCTTTAAAACGAGACAGAGAGAGAGAGAGAGAGAAAATTTTAAGTTTTGCTTTGTGCAATTGGGCCTTAATTACATAGCTATTGTATAACAAATTTTAAATGATTAAGTATTTATATTATAATATTGTTATATTATTTAACAAAATATATACATACTTCATTGTCAGAGTTATTAATTATCAGTATTTAAATAATGTATTTAAATAATTTACATAAAGCAGTTTTTAATGTGCATTAATCCTAAACAATATGAGTAATTGAATTCATTATTAGACCTAGTTCTACAAATAAAAGATTAACATAATCTTGATTTAACTTACTATTTTCATTTTTCCAATTCTAAGAATTTAACTTATTATTTATCTTTCTCTAATTCTAGAATTCGAAAAAGATCAATAATAAGTTAAAGATTTAACTCTTATATTTATGAAGCCAAGCATAAGAATTGGATACATATACCAGTGTGTTTACCTTTTGAAAGGGACCAATTATATGTGTGCCAGCATAGCTCTTGAAGTTTTCGTTAACAATCTTGGCAATCATGAGCCTGGATCCAGTTTCATCAATCTCATTAAAGTTTTTCAAAGGTGGTGGGATGTATATCTCATCATCCACCCGCAAGCCACCCTCCTCATCCGTGTCAAATTCTGTGTCCTGCTCGTTCACTTCCATGTCGACCCCGCCGGGGGTGTGTCTCTTCACTGGGGAGTTGTTGGCCATCCGGACGGTTTCTACAGCCTTCTATCTACAGCTCTCCAGCCTGCGTCGTAACCTCGCTGCGTTTCGAGGTTAGTCTGTCGACAACATCATCGATCGGCCCAGCCGATCTGCCACTTAAATTATCAATACTAGTTCGTTTACCAGGCCACGATATCGAATGAATCACCTTCTCCTGCTGCGGCACTGTTGAAAACGCGAGCTCGCACTCGCGAACCGATCTTTCCCGCGCGATGCTAACCGAAGGAATTACAGAATCCTGACGCGAAACCTCTAACCTCACCTTCTCCAGAATCACTCTGATTATGTTTCTCCACTGTGCTCGACGTTCCCGCGACGCACAAATATTCCGATCGAGTCAGATGAACGACAGATCTGGGTCACTATCAGGTTCCCATATTTCCAGCACCCGCCATCGCATATCGCGAAGAGCATCACGCCGAAGAGGCGTCCTGAATTCAAAATCCCGCTCGACCAACGGAATCGTCCGAACGATGAACTCGAGCTGGCGCGATAATACTCGATCGTGCGCGAAACTCACCCCACTCATATGATGCAGACGACTCCCCAGGTCGCCGCGAAATCGCGCGTCTTTGAATTCCTTCGCGAGTCGTGAAATCGTCCGCGAAATCGTCTCCTAATCCTCTGACAGCTCTGACACGAGCTGCGCGAGCAAAATGGCGGCAAAATGGATTCACTCGTTTAGCACGGTCCGCTGTGTGATTCTGGAATTAATAGGAACTTTTTCTTCCGTTTCTTCACTTCGATCGAAGATAAGCATGTGTTTGACGTTTTGACGGAAAAACAAAGTAGGAGAAAAAAATGAAAAATCTATCCGATTAAAGAAAGAGAAACAAGGTGGGAAAGAAGAAGCGCCTACGCATGCGCAGCGAGCATCTTGACTATGCTAGCGAGTTCAGTGGCCTGAAGTGAGCGCAATTCAGATGTCACTACCACATGACTCCGTGGCGCAACGGTAGCGCGTCTGACTCCAGATCAGAAGGTTGCGTGTTCAAATCACGTCGGGGTCAGGATTTTTTTTCTATTTTTTTTCTTTAGTTTTTGTATACTCATTATAAAAACATATGCATGCAATGTAATTTTTTTAGAAATAGACATAGTTGTGTATAAATACGAATTTTTCGATTTTCTTATGTTCCTCGTAATCACTCCTTTTACATTCTGATATGAGGTCTATTCGCATTGTTTGCACTTTTTAAATTCAGAATTTTCGTTTTCTCTTTCTCTAATGCCCGAATATATATTTATCTCGTTTTAAAACAGATTTATTGTATAATCATGGATGTAATACATTTATCATTAGAGAGAAAGAGAGAAAAGATATGGAAAGATCAACTGCGAAGAACCAATCATTGCACTCGAACGGAACAGGTGCAAACGAAACATTGCAAAAGTACGTCAGAAATGTAAGGAACATCACTTAGCCAAACAAGTCGCAATTTGAATCCATACTAATAAAACAAAGTTGTAGAATCTTTGTAAGTAAACAAAGAATTAGTGCACTTTGAGTATTTAACAAAACGATATTATCGAATGTTTTAACCTCAAGGTTAAAATATTATTAACTTCTCCTTCAACCGAAGAACATAAGAAAAAAATTATATTGACTTGCAATTACTTAATCATATTATTATAAAACCTCCTTAATTTAAGAAGACATGAAAGTGTAAGTTGTCATTAAATCCATTGAATTTTCTGCTTTTCGCGAAAATTGTTATACCTCACTATCATTGGTTTTACAGCATAAAAGGAAATTGGAACACTCTTCTGAGTAATTACGAGGTTTTGGATATTTTGCAAAATACAAAGTGTTCTTACAAGAAACAAAAGATGAATCAGCTTGCAACCATCACTTATCAAACAATCAAGTATCTAGAAGACACGCCATGTAAGAAGCAGAATCCAGAGAAAATCCGAGAGTTTCTAAGAGCCATGGAGCCTATCAAATTGACCAAGGCTGAGAAGCTCACTCTTCTCAATCTTTGTCCTACTACACCTCTCGAGATTCAATTGGTATGACTTCTTTCTTATAAATATCCTAATTCAATACTGTCCAAGATTTGTAATCCAAGAAAAAAAAATAATACATTCCAATACTGGTACACATTAATCCAATTCCCAGAATTATAAATCTTGGATAGTACTGTTTTATTTGATTAAGAAGCAGAGATTCGAATCTTTCAACATTTTTAAATTAGTGATAGATCTATTCTGAAATAATCATTATATATAGATGGTGGAAGAGAGCGAGGAACGACTATCAGAGGAAGAAGTGGACACTGTGCTTCAAATCGTCGCGAATGTGCGAGGAGATGAGGAAGACACAGAACAAGAAACCTAATCTTAGACCTTAAAAAATAACTTATTTAAATATATTTTATGTATGTACATTTTATTTATATAATAAACATGACTGGAAATAGTGTATAATTAAATTATTGTGCGTGTATAATAGTGGATAGCCTTATTATCTCTTTTGATCCCCAAGATCGTCTATAGAATCTTCATCAATCTGAAAAAAAAGAATAGGATTTTTCACTTTGCATTCAATATACCTATTTTCTTTCTCTTTTTTTCATACTTTTTTTCACACTTTAACTTACTTGTGGCCATTTTTCAGGTATCACCTCAAACAGATCATCCTTGACATCTCCCTGTATAACAATTTCGTCGTCTCCAGTCACGCTGGATCCACAAGCAAACTTACTACCGAAAAATTTTGCTGCTACCTTCAAATCGATGTCTAAGAAATAAATTATTCAAAATTAGAATATTTATTCGTTTTACAATTCATTTAGAATCTAAATTTTAGATCGTTTTGATGTTGTATTACCAAAAGTGCTAAGGCCAGTTACAACTGTGACGGATTTCTTCTTTCCTCTAGGTGCTCTGGAGATAGTTATCAATCGTGGTATATCCTCTTTCTTCTTGGTTTTCAGCATACCTTTACCGCCTCGCTTCTGTCGCTTCTTCTCATCCTCTCCTGTGCTGACTTCAGTAGAACCATCTTCTGTAGCTGATTGAAAAATAATCTTTCAGTTAGAATCTTGAACTGTTCGTTATGATGTTCAATTCTGTTCATAATTACCTAATTTTATCTTTTCAAATTCAGTAGGCAGATTCCTTTCTAGCCATTGCTTGCATTTGTCATACTCTGGATAATATTCGCAGTACTATAAATCAATGATCATCAGATTTTTACCAGATTCAAATTTCTAGTAAGAAATATATAAGAGATATATTTTCCATAAGCGATATAAGTATATTAACACAAGAAAATCATTCTATTTTTCTCTCTTACTAAATATAATTAATTTTCAATTATACATTTCGATTGCCAATAATTCCTCCATTTTTGTAATCAAGCATGTATTTTTTACATCAGTATTAAAAGTAACGATTTACCTCAATAGGTAGCGAACAGTTTCCACAATATTGAACGCGGATGGGATAAGTGACATTAGGAACCGGTCCCAACTCCAATCGAAACTCCGGCAGTTCTTCCGCTGACATCCTTGCGCCGTCTAACCTCACTCGCGGTCTTGTCGGGCAGCTCTTTTAGAACGATCGTTTTAGAAATTTTTCCTCTTGTTGTGTCGATCTTCCTGAAAACGCAACAGTCTTTATTTTTACACGAACAAATATTGCTAACTGCAGCTAACAAATATCTCATACCGTGCGTACTGTTAGGTTAGAAACGCCAGGGATGTAGAAACTTAAAGATCGATTTCTATGATCAGTGAAGTGATCTTTGTTCTCCCAAAAAGTATTCACATCATTTTACAATTGGGTGCATTCAATACTACACTGTTCATTGAGCGCTCAATGAGCTCTTGCATCTGATTGGCATATTCCGTTAGATCTAAAAATATAGACCAAACAGATACAAGAGTTTACTAAGCGCTCAGTGAGCAGTCATAGTACTGGGGATCGATTATGTACAATATCTTGAAATGAAGTGAAAATTATAAAAGTGAGCAAATTCACTAGAATATTCATAATTCAATTGGTCAATAACTAGTAAATTTGCTCATTTTTGGAATTTTCATCTCATTTCAAGATACACAATCGACTGAATGCATCCATTAGGTGCATTCAGAAGCACTACCGCTTAGGCCGCCATCCCATGAGCGAAAATTTACAGCGGAATGGAACAGCACAACCAATCACAATTCTGCAGTCATTACTCTGCTTTCTTTTTGCGATTGTGATTGGTTTCGCTGTTTCGTTCCGCTGTAAATTTCCACTCATGAAACGCCGGCCTCATTGAAAGCTCAATGAGCTCTTGCACAGCCGGTCATAGAAAGATTGCAACATTTTTTTTTATGGGTTTCAGAATACCTACTCGTCAAGCGATTGGTTCTTATTTGTAGATCCATGAATAAGAATCAATCGCTCGATGAGCAAGCTGCATTTTGAAACCCATAAAAAATAAAGTGTTACAACCTTTCTGTGATCGGATGTACCGGTTTTATATTTTTAGATCTAATGGAATATACCAATCAGATGCAAAAGTTCACTGAAGAGAGTTCACTGAAGAAAGCTCACTCAAGAACCTATCAAAAATCATGTATTGTGGAATACACAGTTTCTGATAGGTTGAAATTCTTATTCTCTGTTCTCTGTTCCTTATTCCTTTTATTCGCCTCTAAAGGTGCATTCACATTCAAACGTCAAGTGGAAACAGCAACCAATCAGCTGGGCAATACGGGCAGTGATGTAAAAAATATTTTTTACGCCACTGTAAAATCGCTTTGTTGATTATGAATCTAATCATTTGCATTCAACCGCTCTATATGAGCAAGACTGAGTTCCGAAACCCATCGAAAAAACAGTACTGAATCATTCATTTTTTCAGGCCATTATTAAAGCCTGCGACACACTGGATAGCTGGATTAGAATCTTGCCACTGTATTGGCTGCGATGCTGGTACTGCAGCTAATACGATGGCTAGATTCTAATCCAACTAGGAATCTTGCAAGAAAACAAACATTGTGTGCCGCAGGCTTAAATTTTTAATGTAGATTAACATCAATTTCAATTTAACTTACTTCTATCCTTTTTTAGTTCTAAGAAGAGATAAAAATAACTGAGATTAAAATTTAAATTACCTTGGTAGAAATGGACGTAAGATAAGCAATTTTGATTGAATTATGTTCACTTTTATAACCAAAGTAGATTAATTTTAATCTTAAATTAGTATTGAGTCATCTAAAAAGTATCCGCGGTACTTTGTCACTAGATATATGACCATCAACACACATCTAGTGACAAAAAACCGCGGATACTTTTTAGATGACTCAATATTTGATATTGTATATGGGTCATCTAAAAAACCGCGGATATTTTTTAGATGACCCATATACAATATCAAATACAATACAATAGTTTTTAAATTAATTATTTTCTAGTGATTTTATTAGCTGTGCGCACGAAAACGCATCGTCGCAGGCGCAACACTGACGGACCAATCGCGAATCGATACGGCGGACCAATCGCGGATCGCCGCGACGAACCAATCGCCGGCCGTGCCGCAGAACTTTGCCGCAGACCGTTCGAAACGCACGTGCGGGCCGCAGGATTCGCGCGCGCTGAAGTAGTTGCCGTGAAAAAGTCGGACGTCGTCGTCGTTTTCCGTCCCGGACGAACGATTCAAAAGGGCGTGCGTGCGCGTGACCGTAAATCGCAGCAAGGACAGTGAAAGAACGGACAGAGAGAACGAGACTCGCGCGAGAGAGCAAAGAGGTAGTCGAAGTAATACAGAGAAATAAGTAAACCACGTTGTCACGTTACATCCTGTCGTCACCGTCATTTCTTTCATCATCGCCGGAGTGGTCCAAGTCCAAGGAAATGGCAGTCGGTGCACAGATCGACACGTCCGAACGGGATACCGGCAGCGCGAAGATACCCCTGTTGAACGGCGATCAAGTGCATGAGGCTACGAAGGTGACCGGTTAGTACCGATACGAAATTATCGCATGCGGCATCGCGCGCCCCACGAGGGTGCTGCACGGAGTTTCCTTTAAGGTTAATCTACGAATCAGAACTCGCTCATGTTCTGACCCATGAACGTTATGTAATCTTTGATGGGAACAACGCCGGTCTCGTCTCGTGTCCCGACGAAGACATTTCATGGATCGTTGGGACCGTTTTTCGCTTCGTCGTTCGGCTCGTCGAACGCGAAGCCGGCCTCCATCGAGCGAGGAGGAGAGAGCGCGCGATCGGGAAGAGCGCGTGTAAAAACGGGATAGAGCGATGCCTCGCACGTTATGTAACCCCTACGAATTGCGCGAGTCTCTGCGCACGGGGTCATGTGAGCCTCAAGTAACACGAGGAGGGACGCCAGGGGGAGGGGGTAGGTCTAGCAGAAGACGCGTCGCGGCGCCAACGGATGAATTTTCTTGGGCCGAAATCAGACGCATTTGAGATTGAAAAATTGTTATTTAACCGATTAAAAAACAATAGGAACTAAAATTCCTTTGTCTTCATTGCCCAAATCTCCTTCAATTTTCAATGCATAGTGCATTGATTCCGGGCTTACCGACCTTCCGGTCTACGAAAGCGTTTTCTTTCTGAAGGTCGAATGTGTACTTTAAAAACAAGGTGGAAATTACATAAGTAAACAAATTCATTAAGTATTAACTAATAAAAATTAATTAATATAAATATTTTAATGAATTCGCTCACTTTGTAATTTTCCTCATTTAAGATACACAATCTTCGCAATCAATTATTTCCACATTACTTTCTTTTTTTCTTTATCAATTCACAGTTGATAACGATAATAATCCCGAAACACAATAGATGTAGTAAGCCTTAGGAAATTGACTAATCAGTCGATCATTTAACTGATGAATTCCTTAACACTTACTACACCTATTGTATTTCAAGACTTAAATATGTTCTTTTTAGTTGTTTAGTAAATGTTAAAACATTTACATGGTTTACCTTTTCTCTTTTTTTTTTCACATTGAAGGAAAAAAGAAGAAAGATAAATTATGCAAGAAGAGCAGCAATTCGGCTAGAGAAAACAATCCTATTCTGTCCTTTATATTTGTGGGAATTATGGCTAAATTTATCTACATAACACAGATCTCTGAGGAACGTCTTGAAGACGTTCTTTAGGATGCAAACATTCTCTAGACGTCTTCAAGACGGACATCCTCTGGATATCTTTAGAACGTCTTCACGTCTCTCTTTGAAAACTTGTGTTATACATGCACACTGGAAGAAAGACAATTCATTCTTTTGAACAATCGTCAAACTATATGAAGCTGTTTCTCGAGACGGAGAATCGCAGAGGAAAATGAGGAACTCATCGTGGTCTTTTAAGTTTACTCTACAATGTGCTCTTTACTTCCTGTTTCTTTTTACCACTTTGATCTCTGGCTTATTACGGTTCTTGAAACGAGGTGAAAATTACGAAAGTGAATTAAATTTACTAGAATATTTATAACTTTATTGATTAACATCTAGTGAGTGAGTTTGCTCATTTTTATAATTTTCACTTCGTCTAAAGAATCGTAATAAGCGCCCTTGTCTTTTTGTCTTTTATCCTGTTTCTTCATTTTCAATCATCCTAGATACTTGAAAGTAGAACTTCGAAAGAGATAAGAAAGACGATGATTGATAAAACAATCGCAAAGGGGAAAAAAGATAAGACACAAAAAGTAAGAAACAGGAAGCGAAGAGCACATTGAAGATTAGATTTTAAATTGAATGGTGCTTCTTGCATGGTACTCGACCTGCTTACCGTGATATCGGCGAACGGAACGACACGAGATTACGTTGCAAATTTTCTCAGGTTCTGCATTCTATGCGATAAACAATACAAGTTGCAATTGAGAAACCGGAGTTTGCCTGTTAAAAACTGCAAAAGACTCTTCGAGCATGCGAGCATATCGGCAACCTTGACAATAGATCTGTTCTTTTTCTCTCTACGTTGGAGAGAAAAAGAGAAAAGAGGAACCGTGCAAGAAGTTCAGTTAAAAGAAACAAGCCTAATTAGAATAGAGATGCGAATTATTAGGATTCTTTAAAACGTGAAACAATTCGGAGCGATCATTCACGCAGCTCGGCGAATCTGCGACGAATCCTTCAACGATCGTCTCGATTCTGTTCCAATTAAGGATTACCGATGATGATCCGTAGATCACCGTTCACACGATGGAAACTAACACGCCGTATTATATGATTACGCAAACATGTCGTAATCATATTTACGTAATACATCTCCAGCTGTGCTCGACAAAACATCGATCGATCAGTAGTATTGATTACGTCTGAACACGAAGCTTCCGTGTATTAATTTACATTTTGACAAATTTTGACAACAGATATTTAACGCTTTTAATACTAAATGCAATTATTACTCTGCTGAAAATTTTTTTCATAATTTTTATACGAATTTTATATATTTTTCAGAAATATTCAGAAATATTCAGAAAGTTTACATCTTCTCTCAGAATTTTTCATACAAGTGAATTCTGAAATATTCTGAAATTTCTTATCTCATAATTAAAAAAAAATATTTTTAAACTTTTTTAGATTTTATAATATTTCATCAGAAATTATACTTACAAAAAATCTTAGAAGTTTTACAATATTTTATAACTAACATATATATGAAAAATTCTGAGAAAAGATGTAGATTTTCTGAGAAATGTTCCAATTCGTATAAAAAAATGTAAGAAAGTTATAAAATTATATAGAAATTTTGAAAAATTATATGAA